CAGCTCAAGTAGCAATTGAAACTATTTGGCTCCAGAAAAACCACTGCTGCGAGATTAAGTTTGAACTCAAAGTCGTGCAGCAGAAACTAGATCTATCCAGTGCAGGGGAGAGGCAGAGCAGGACTGGGTCAAGGAGAAGGTAACAGAGGGAAGTGTCAGCTAAGAAGAGGCATGCGCAGGGAGAAAAGGTACACGCAGCCTCATCAAAAACACGTCTTGTGACCACAAAAACATACCGAAAGCCAAGTTCCCAGCAGCATCCTCAGGGCAACAAAGAACCCGGTTCCCAGCCCCAGCAGGCTGGTAAGACAGACAAAAAGGCGATGCAGTCTGTCCTCTGACGACAGCCTTGGTCACGGATTCGAAAAATGCGTTTAGACCCAGCTCTCTCCCAATTCTCACTCCTAGACTGGACTTGGTTCCCACACAGAGACCAACAGCTCCCCCAGCTGAACCCAGGATCGAGCCTTTTTCTGCCCATCAGCTCGCTGCAAGGACTCAAAGGGCTCTGAGCTGCCAGAGCCTTCACAGCAGAAACCAGACGTTCCAGAGCAGGGAAGAGACCATGCTGAAGCAAGGGCAAATAAATAAAAAACTTTTTTTTTTTTTTCATCCCCTCCCTGGAAAAATACTAAAGCTGACAATCTGACCAGGCTAGAGTCAGGAACGACACCACGGTAAAGAATCGTATCTAAACCATCTGCAGGAACAGTGGAAGGAAGGAGAGACAGGACATGGCACCGTGTCAGGCTAACACAAAGAACAAAAGCCTTCAGAGAAAGGCAGGGCAGCACATCACCGAGAAGAACCTAAAACCTACTTCCATCCCACAAGTCAATATGCGCTTGTCGAATTCAGGAAGTGGGTTTTGCTGTTTCAAGTACACTTAATACCTATTTGTTGCTGCCCTACAGAACATCGCTGCATTCCCTCAGCCAGAGAGGCACTTGTTTGCGTTGGAGTGGAGATGTTAACAGCCAACGTGTGCCTGTCAGTGGGAACCTCCCGGGGCCAGCTGAAAGGTGCAGGGAAGCGCCAAGAGTCTTCCAGCAAGGAGCAGGATGGCAAAATGCAGAGCTAGCAAGTGTTTTAGAGAGTCCGAAGTGGGCTGAGCGAGCTGAGCTTTTCCTTGCCACAATACGCAGTGGCAGAGTGGCAGCTACAGTCACCGCTTGAGAATACATAAGGGAAAGCTGCCAAATTCCTCAATACTTCGGTACTGACAATGCAACACTTGCATCCTCCTGGAGAGGATCGGAGCCAGGAAAGAGTCAACGTGCTGCCAGGAGAGGAGCACAACAGGACAAAAAGCAGTAGCAGCAAGTGACATAGGGAACAAAAACCTTGCTTTGGGGTTCTTAGGTCAGTTTTGTTGTTGTGCTTTTAAACACTGTCGCTTTTCCTAAGCTCAGGTAACCAAGTTAACTCCTGCCCATCTCCACAGGTGACCGTCCTTCCCTAGAGCACCGTGTGTCCCTGGGGACAGGCAGCCGCGGGGCTGGAGTGCCACCTTCCGACCAGCCACCGGCAGCGCTGCCTCATCTCCCCGAGGTGGGCAAGGAGAGAGCACACCAGAAACACATCCTCCTGGTGCTCCAGGGCCCCCACGCTCTCCCTGTTGCTGCTTCTCCTTCCCATGGCCTCACCTTGTTCATGGGCTGCCTAGAAGAGGTAAGAGAAATGACAGTGTTACTACACACGGAGATGAGCGGCGTAGCTTTCAGCAGGTTGGCTCTGGAGCAGAGGGGACAAGGACTACAGTCGGTCCTAAAATCAGACAGTTCCCCAGATCTCCTCACCAACATGCAACAGGATCAAGATCTGAGCACCCTCCAAAAACAAGCATAATGATCATCTGTCGATCAACTCAGAACCAGCCCAGGGGTCCAGCAGGGCATTCAGGAAGGACAAAGCCCGACTTTATTCAATGCTTAATCCACCTCCAGGCAGCAGCCACCTCGCAGCGAGATGGGACCCAAGTGTTTAAAGGGCTTCGGTGGGCCCGTCTTCTTTGAGGTTATCCAGTGTTTCTAAGATGACCAAAAATCTAAGTACATACAAAGGCATCCAGCAGCAGTGAGTTTCAGAGCTGAACTGGACATGCTACAAAATATCTCCTCCCATATATCTTGTACAAACCCACTCAATTGCAAAAATTTCTCAAGAGAGTCCCAGTGAACTCAAGCCTTCCTGCTGCAGACACCAGCCCTGCTAAAACTTTCCATATCCTTCTACCATTTCCAATTTCAATTCACCCCGTAAAGTTCAGCACATGGACACATTCAGTCAAGTACAATTTCTTCTTCTGACCACCTGATGCCTCGCTTGCCTGGAGCTGTCTACCAGGAGCGGTCTTTATCGTTTCCTGCTCAAGCTTCATTAACTACCCTAAAAGAAAGGAGTGGGAAATGGTCGTGTCCAGAAAGCAGAGATAAATCAGCCCATTACACCTATCTGCGTGCCCAGAGTGGAAGATCAAGTGACACAGGCTTGTCCTAGTGTCACCCAGGTAGGCAGGATGACACAGTCCCTCTGCAGGCACAGGCACAACATCCTTAGGCTGAACACCTCTGCGACGCTGCCCACGCACATGCCTGGGTTACACCAAGGCTACTGGCCCACAGATACGTTGCCAGCCTCCCAAAAGAGCTCTTCTCCCCTCCAGCTATCTGGGAAACTTCATAGTGCAAGCAGGACAGTCATACCTGAAACTTCCACCTTCTAGCCCAAACCAAGACCTCCTGCAACCCACGGGACGGTTTCAAGGAAGAAAACGGAACCTGAAAGGCAGCCCAAGAAGTTACATCAAGAGTACCCTCTTTCCTACTAGCCCTGTCACTAAATATATTAGGATTATCAACAGAAGGTATTAAGACCGACCAGGCAAAACCAACACTTTCTCCAAACTCCTTGTGTCTTGCGGTCCTCATTCTTCTGTTTTAACTTGTCCCTGGTGTCATCAGAAGCTATGAGAGTGTCTAACACACTGAGAGCAACAACCACCTTGGATCAGTTGAAGCTGGCAACACCTTCTCTATTGCATCAATACTTCACTGGTGTGGTGAGAGCAGACCCAGAGGAGCCCTCTCCATCAGTGGCGCACGAGAACCACACCAAAACACAACTGAACACTTGGACTCCTTGCACAAAAGGCTCCTCAAGAGAGTGGAGAGTTTCACGTAGGAAAACAGCTTTTCTCCCTCTCCTTTACTTTCCTCTAGGCAGCACTGCAGACAGTGGCATCTAAAGCAAATCTTCTGGGTAAAAAGGAAAATACGAGACGAGACTGAAGAGGACTCAGGGAAGAAACATCCTGTGCTGAATGAGACCAATGTGTTCAAGATGAGATTACACAGCAGGCAAGAGATATCCAGGCAGAATTGTGTTCTGCTATAGAGAACTCATCAAAATCACAGAGACAGAAGCAGAACAAGATCAAAGTTAAATCAAGTTGAGGGTAAAAAACACCAGCTTTGAAGTCAAGTCATTCAAACAGCTGTGAGACACGGCCTACCAGATTACACGAGGTGTTTAAGGGCTTCTGCACAACTTGAGCTGGCTGCAGACACTGGATAAAGGTGAACAGGACCGGTGTAACAGAAAACGGGATTTCCACAGCCATTCGCAGCCTTCCGACCAAGTGACGCATTGTGTGATCAGGGCAGGCCTGGTCTGAGACCTTTCACTTTATCTTTTCCACACACTGGTTTTCAAAGCAGGACAGTTAAGGAACAACCAGTTTTTAATGTCTGCAAGATACTCATGTCCTGCCCAGACTATTGCCTTGATTTCCAGGTGGGCAAAGAGGTGTTTTGAAAGTTATCTTAAGTTTGGAAAAATCCAAGAGATAGCTCCATACAACTAGGATGATGAGCTAGAAACTGCTTCATTCACTTAAAAGACAGGCACAGTGACCTAGAAAATAATAGACATAAGCCACTAGGTTAGAAAAATGAGATAGTGGTACTGTCCATACACAGAAAGGACAGAACAGGAAGGAATGTGGCTGAGAAATAGGTCTTGAATCAAGATTTGCATATGCAGCACCACAGGCAGGCCAAAATTTAAAAATGTTTGAAATGACCACAACGGCCTTTCTACCACTGCCTGCATCGTTCAAAAAATCTCTAGGTGGTAAACAAGATAACACACACACAACTGCCAAAGAATGCAAGATTAAACACCACTTGCCAGAGCGCCTGCGATGAGTCAAGCACACTGTATCAAATACGCGAATGCTGATGTATTAGCCATCCTACCTGAGAACAAAATACATTCTTCTCAGAGATGCAAGTTGAAAAAACACACTCTACCAAAACAGAAATCCACTTTTGTCCATGAGATATCTCCTCACTGGTTAGACAAGGCCACTGGCTACGTAGTTTGCTGGCCAAACTAGAGCTTACAGACTAAGGAAAAGAAAAAAGGCAATTTTACTTCACATTTCAGACGCAAACTAGCATAACTGGCATCTCACCGACGTTAGCTATTTCATTTTATTGGTGTTTATAACAAAAGCAGCACACAGGGCAGCAGCGGGCTGCGTGAAATTGCAAGGTGAGACACCTGCGAAAGCATTGTGCTATTTCAAACACTGCACGTCAGCTGAACCTGCTGTGGAATCGCACACACCCCGCTGTCTTCTCAAGTACTGACAGAGACATGCTGAGGCTGCTGCAGCCCTGTCTTTCCCTGCTTCACATTCTAAGCCCTCACTCCCCCTAGCGCTGGATCCTACCGAGCTTGCTGAGAAAAATAAATCACACGATTAAGCCCAAAAGTTGTTCCATTTTCAGCCAGCCCAACTCCCTGAGCCAGTTTGTGACAGCCCCCGGATGGGATCACAGCAGCCCTGACACAGGCTGATCATCCTCCGGGCATCAGAACCAGCAGACAACGGCTGACACGCACATGGTCGCAAAGACAAAGCTGGTCTGAGAGCCCTCAAATCTGAAGAACACCGACGGTTCAAGTGCTGTTCACAAACAGCTGCTACTCACGTGATGAAGTCCAGAAAACTTGCCAGGGGCTCGTACGCATGGTTCCTCATGTGACGGAACTCTACCACCATCTTCTCCTTCAGCTTGTCGTCTATGACCGAGACGGTGAGCGGGGAGGCTTCGTTGGCCAGGAAGTTCCCATAGTCTGTGCTCTGGAGGTGCAGTTTCAAGTCTGAAAAAAAGAAAGAATAATTCCACTCTGCGGGGCTTGTGTTGGGTTTAGTGGTTTTTTGAGCATACTCAAGAAAACTGTCGCTCAGGACTTGTCTGAGCATTCTCTTTTCTGAAAACACATAGGTTTTGTCTAGGTGATCTACGTCACACGTGTATATTTGTGGTCCGTTTTATCACAGACAACCCAAACGCAGGAAAAGATCAATGTTTCACCATACCAGCTTTGCCCCATCTTAAAGAGAAAACTGTGACACTCTCTGTGTAGCTGAGCACACACCTGTGCCAGCTGCCCACTGTGCTTTATCAAGGTGGAAGGGTGCCAATTTTCTAGAAAGTATTTGCAGGAAATCCAGAAGAAAAACACCCACACACTTAAGTACTTCTTCTAGCCACAAGGGCTCTGGTTGCGGGCTTCTCTAAAGCTATAATGACCAAGAACCTATTTGCATCTCCAAGCAAGTTTCCTCAAATACTAGTGATGTGGAGGCATCTGAAAAGCTTTCGAAGTTGAAAATAGCAATCTCGAAATTATAAACCAGCTAGGTGCTACACCATCAAGTCAGCCCAGCTAATTGCACTGGTAAAGTCAGGCATAAAGAGGGAGAAATGGCCTGGTGAAGAGGAAAGCCATTTAAACCCAGTGGGCAACCCCTGTCCAGGATGGAGGTACGTGCTCACAAGCCTTCCCCTCCTCCAGTTTCAAGAAGAGGAAACCTTTGTTTCTTCTGTTACTCTTGCCTGCAGGTCAGGTGCCCAACCAAGCTGCAGTCCTGGCCAAGAAGCAACCACAACATGCTGAGCTCTGTCAAGATAAAAGCCCTGTTTGAGCCAAAATCGTTGAAGTGCCTCTATGGAAAAACTGAATCCAGAACTGAGAAACGTCATATAATCCTCTGCTTCTCAAAGCTCTGCTAGTTGCACTGGTACACGATGTTCATCTGCCTTCAGCTTCACCTCGGAGGGCCAGTTCAGCAAGCACCCTCCCAGGGATTCAAGACCTTTATGGGGAAAGAAGAGTAGCTGGAAGAGTTTAGTCAAACCAGATGTGAACACACCATCCAGAGAAAACAACAACAAAAGGACAGACATTTTTCCCTGGTTTCTCTAAAGCAAGAGCACTGGGGCTGCTGTTGCCTTCCACCAAATCACACAAGTCCTCAGCAACATGCACCATGGCTGAAAGCAGAAGCTTAACTGAGGCCTCTGCTCTCCAGATGATGCCGCAGCTCAAAAGCCATTTTTTATTCTGTCAAAACATTATCAACTTATGCTCACGCTTTCGAGGTGGGAAAACATGGTCTGGGTAACCCCAGACAGTGGAGTTTTGAACAATGTGACCCTTGTCATAGTCAAACGCTGGATCATGCCAAACCTCAGCCTGTTCCTCAGCTCCGTGCAGCCTGCGGAGGATTACTCCTGACCATAATCACTTCCTAAACCCTGCAAAAAGTCCAGCTCACAGGCAGCACCCTGCATGCAAAGAGTTCTCACCCATCTGTTCTGCAACTGCTTGATTTTTGAAAGCCAAGATATAGTTACAGAGGGGAAATCTACTGGAATTACGTCTTAATGAGTTTCAGTCCCTCTTCCGAAACCTCTTGGATTATAAGCTTTGGAGTCTGAGTGGAAATTATGTTCCACTGTCTGATCGGGGCTTTACTAGTTTAGCTGGAGAAAGCACAGAGCAAAACGCAGCAGTGTCTCAGGGAACATGAGAGAGGGGGTCCTGGTAAGAGTATTGCATCCATAAAAATCAGTCCGCAAGGGAAGGCACAGGGGACTGCAGTCGCCTCACTCATACACCTCCTACTTTCAGTTCTCCGGAGTCACGCAGAGCTCCAATGACAGCCAAGCCTGCCCAGAAAGGCATGTGATGTTGTTTTGCAGCTATACAGGACCTCGGAGAGGAAGCGGCTATTACATATCCTACCACATCTTACTTCTGCAGGGAAGCTTCCAAAGCTTTCAGCTTGTTTCCTCAGCTCCCACTCTGCTACAGCAAAACCATCGGTTCCTTTTAATGCCATCACGACCTGCAGACCACTGTGATTTGAGGCTGCTATCGCGTCACCTGATGCTAGAGATCTAGCGACACAAAAAAAAAAAATAAAGTTTGCTGTATCATCCGCTTCCATCGTACGCAGGTCAGAGCCACACCAGCTGCAGGCCAGGCCTTGCAGCCTCTCCCTTGACAGCTTCGAGCAAGCTCCCACAAGCTTTTTTTGTCCTGCTCGACATGGGGGTTGCCCCCCACCCCCCAACTCCACAGCGCAAGAGCCAGCACAACATTATGTTGCAAGGGGAATAAAGGCCATGTTTATATAACACTTGGAACTAATTTTTGCAGCAAAGGCCAGCTACAAACTGCAGGAACTAAACTCTTCTGAATCTCTCAGCATCCAAACAGACAGAACAGAATATAATTTTTCAAAAACTGGACCGGATTTACAAACCTTGACTCAATGCCTCCCACGGTGTACCAGTGACTTACACGAGCCTATCCTCCTCCAGCCCCTGGGCTGGTCACCAAGCTTCAGCCAAGGAGGTTTGGGAATTTTTAGTAGGACTTTTCACATGTCAGGCTTCTCAGTTAAGAACGGACTCATCTCGTGGTTTCACAAATCCCCTGCCAGAAGAGCTGTCCCAGTCGCACAGTGACTAACAAGCGGACCCACTGCTGAGCAAGCCCTGAGCTCTCCAAAAGTTCAAGTTCCTATTTCCTAACGCAAGTTCAAACCAAGCTGGAATTGGCCTCTGGCAGCAACGGCAGCACCTCGGCAGGGACGGCTGCCAGAGATCACACATGCCGCATGTCGGCGAGACCCTGGCTGTGAGTCTTCTTTCCCAGTTGAAAAGGAGAGACCCGCACCCAGCGCCCAGCTGCTCCCAGTGAGCTCCTCTGGATGCTGACTACAGCGGCGCAAGCCCTCAGCAATTGCTTTTGAGAGGTGCCTGTGCCCATTTCAGCATTTCTCCAAGCAGTTCACGCACTTCAAGGAACCAACTGAGCCAGCATTTGGCAAGGGAGTGCCTGAATTACCACAGCGCTTTTGTTCTCTCTCCTCCCCCGCAAAAGTGAGTAAATTATGGCCAGGTCACAGTTCCCAGAAAGCTGCCTCATGCAAGAACACAACAGCTTGTCAGAACGACAGTCTTTTTCTGCTGAGTATTCAAGTTGGGCAGCGTTCAAGATTACCATGACATGTACTTACAGCCACCTCCTTTCAGTTCTTGGATCGGGCCCTCTGGCTTTAATGCCACACACGAGGCATAAACACAAGCGAGGCTTAATTCAACAAACCACTGTGCCAACACCACACCTCAACCTTTCCGAGGACATTTTCTTGATGAGCTTCAGATCCACAGCAACATTACTATCCTCTCCTGCAAGTTTGCTTTGTCATAACGAAGAATCAAGTCATTATTCAGTCTTTCAGATATCTGTCAGTCAAAGCCTGTCCCGTAAGCCCTACTCAGACAGACTGACCCCTGGCCCCACCAGCTTATACTTCCACCCCCTTCCTTCTTCGGCATCCTCTCGTAACCACACTGCAGAGCTCTGTATCAAATTAAGGGCTCACACACTTCCAGGAATGGACCGATTTGTTTTCTCGCACACAGGGACAGAATTAGCTTTGGTGACTTCCGAGCTGAACCGATGTTTTCACACAATTACCCGCTGCCACTCCGACATCTGACGCCAAAGCACCCAGCAGCCATCACTGCAGATATATAAAAATTAAAAGATTGTTTGCTGTCTTCCAGGCCTAAGGCAGTCAAGCAGCTGAAGGATTCATTGATTGAATGATTCTATGATTACGCAACAGTGTTCCCATTAGCTACATCACCCACGTCTCCCATCAGGAGGCTGCAGCCATTTAGTATTTGGTTGCTGCTGTCCGTCTGGTCTGCTTACGGCCACCTCAGACACTGCTGAAGCCAACTCTCTGAAATTTCACCCAGGAAGCACCCAGAGACCCTACATCCTAGTGGGCAGTAAGTTGTCCCTGGGACAGCACCGTGCCCTTGTGGCCAAGAGGGTCCATGGAAGCCTGGGGGGCATTAAGAAAAGTGTGTCCA